TAGACCTGACATCCTCATTATTTGTCTTTCATTTACTGCTTTGATCCATTTTGTTGATTTCCGTGAGGAAACACAATGTCTGGGCATATATAAGAATGAGTGCTGTGAATGGTGACCTTGAATTGAATGAGAGTGTGGCTCCGCGACGATATGCTTATGAAGATCTAGAAAAGATGACTAATAATTTCAAGGAAGAGCTTGGTAGAGGAGCCTCGTCAACAGTTTATAAAGGGCTGATTTTGGGTAGCCAAAGCGCGTCAGATCGAGGCAGCAAGAGATCGCCTGAGGCGGTCGGCTGTTCCGCAAGCTGCACGTTTAGGGCGGTAAGGCGTCGGAAGGCGTGATGAAGCGCTGCAAGGCCTGGCCAGACGGACGAGGCGGCGCGAGGAAGAAGAAGAAGAGTCCGCGTGAAATTTTTTATTAGGGTAGTAAAACGCCGCCGTTTCACTTTCAGCCTTTCTAAAACTGAGGTTACTTAAATGAAACGCACGTTCAGTGTTGTTTCTTTCCTTTTTTCTAATGAAATTAATATATTAAGTTAATAATACATGCTGTGTATTGTATATATCAATTGCAGATTCGATTTTACTTACCCTTTTTTTCCTCTTTCAAAATTAATATTTTAACACATGGACCTATATATATATATATATGTAGTACAACCCTAATTTCTACTCTTACCCAATAATCACCATCAATTTCAAGAATTCTCTTTTGGTATGAATAAATATTTTATGTTTTGGGATTGATTATTATGCCAAAATGACAATTAGTACTTATATTTGATTATATATTTAAAAAATTGTTAAGAATTAGTAGCACAATTTAATTGTGTTGTATTATTTATAAATTTTTCATATTAAAATAAATTAATGTTCGAAAGGCTTACACCTCACTGCTTTAAGGCTTACGTCTCACGTAGCATGACTAAAACGTCTCGCATCTACGCCTCGTCTTTCAAAACATTGCAAAAGATTAGAGAAAGTTGCAACCGAAGGGGAAACATAATTTCAGACTGAGATCAGAGTTATTTGGAAAACCCATCACAAGAATCTAGTCCGTTTACTTGGGTATTGCCTTGAAGGAGCTAAAAAGCTTTTGGTGTATGAGTACATGAGCAACGGCTCACTTGCAGATGTGCTCTTCACCCGTGAAAGGCAAAGTGTAACAAGAATAAATTTCAGGCACATGTACATAGGTATATATATACATGTCTACAATGAATATTGAAGAATTATCTCTTCACATTTGTGTTACTATGTGCAGCACATAAGTGGATATGGATTGGCACGGCTATTGGCGCTGCTCTATTGGTAATGGTGCTTTGCATCTCGAGGAGGAAACTATTTTCAGGTAGACTCTTTAAACATCTATGAAGGCTTTGGAAATTTTAAATTTTAATTTTCTTCAACATTAATCTAAACAGGGGAGACCAACCCGATGGTTGAGAATGAATTGCTTGAATGGATGGAATCTGACAGATCCACTGGCAATGTCAACGGGCTTCAAAATGATGGAAAGATGGGAAATAATTTGACAGTATTTAGCTACGCATCTGTAGTGGCTGCCACAACTAACTTCTT